TGTGTACATGGCAATGTTTTTTTTTCTTATTTTGTATTTAAGTTTATAATGTGTCTCTTTTTCTTTTCTTAGTGTGTATCTAAATTTAAAATAAATTATTTTCAAAAATCTCTCTCCAGGTATCTATCATATCTTGCTTAGCTAAGATTTTATTCATCTCCTTGACTTCCTTACTTATTTTTTAGTTAAATTTATCTAGTTCTGAGAAGGGAAGGTTGAAATACCCCACTATTATAATTTTGCTATCTCTTTCCACCTGTAATTCATTTAGCTTTTTCTTTAAAAATGTGGATGTTATAGTATTTGGTGCTTATATGTTTAGTAGTGATATTACTTCATTACCCAAAGAACCTTTTATCATAATGTAGTTTCCTGTTTATCTCTTTCAATTAAATCTATTTTAACTTTAACTTTGAGATCATGATTGCTACCCCTGCTTTTTTTTTTTGCATCAGCTGAAGTATAATAAATTTTGCTACTGCCCTTTATTTTAATTCTGTGTGTCTCTTTTTAAAATGTATTTCTTGTAAGCACCATATTGTTGGATTCTGACTTTTAATCCATTCTGTTATCCATTTCCCTTTTATGAGTGAGTTCATCCCATTCATATTCAAAGTTACAATTATTAGTTGTGTATTTCCCTTCCTATTTTTCCTATTAGTTGCGTATTTCCCATCCTATTTTTTCACTATGTTATTCTTCTCACCCTCTCTTTTTACCCTATCCCTCCTTATAATCTAATTTACTTCTAATTACTGCCTCCCCAATCCTCATCCCTTCTAAGAATCCCTCCCCTATCCTCTCCCTTACCCTTCTATTCATTAATTTACCCACCCTTCTAAGAGTCCCTCCCTTATCCTCTCCCCTTACCCTGCTACTTCTCTGTAAGTCAAGAAGACTGATACCCTTCTAGATGTGTATGTTATTCCCTCTGAAATCCAATTCTGATGAGAATAAAGTTCTGGCGCTACCACTCCCCAACTCTTCCTGCCTCCACAGTAACAGTTCTTCCATTCATGCCTCATTTGTATGTGATAATTGCTCCATTTTACTTCTTCTTACCCAATTTTATATTTTAGGATCATCCCATCATACTCAACTCAACCCCAAGCCTTCTATCTATGTATGCTATTTCAAACTACTCAAAAAATAACATTGTTAAGAGTTACAGATAACATTTCCCCATGTAAGAAATAAACAGTTTGACCTTATTAAATCCCTTATTATTGGTCTTTAATGTTTGCCTTATGTTTCTCTCGATATTTATAGGTCAGTTTTCCCATTAATTCTGGTCTTTTCTTCCCAAATACTTTGGAGTCCTTTAATTCACTAAATATCCATTTTTTTCCATATAGGATTACATTCAGCATTGCTGGGTAAGTTACTCATGGTTGCAAACAGCAACTTTGCTCTTCAGGATATAATGTGTGATTCCTTTCAGTCTTTTAGTGTAGAAGCTGCTAGATCTTATATTATCATGACTCCCCAGTATTTAAATGATTTTTTTTGTAGTTGCTTGTAGTATTTTCTCCTTGACCTGGGAGCTTTGGACCTTAGCTATAATGTTCCTGTGAATTTTCATTCTTGGGATATCTTTCAGGTGGTGGTTGGTGGATTTTTTCAATTTCTATTTTGCCCTCTAATTCTAAAATTTCAGGGCAGTTTTCTTAATAATTTCTTGAAATATAGTTTCTAGACTATTTTTTTAATCATAATTTTGAGGTAGTCCAGCAATTCTTATTGTGTCTCTCCTCATTCTGTTTTCCAGGTCAGTTGTTTTTCTAAGATGTTTTACATTCTTTTTTATTTTTTCATTCTTTTGATTTTGTTTTATTATGTCTTGGTGTCTTGTGAAGTCATTAGCTTCCCCTTGCCCAATTCTAAATTTTAAGGAATTATTTTCTTCTGTAAGTTTTTGGATCTCTTTTCCCAATTAGTTGACTTTCTTTTCACAATTTTCTTGCATTACTCTTATTTTTTCCTAATTTTTTTCCTCAACCTTTGTTTTGTTTTGTTTTGTTTGTTTGTTTGTTTGTTTTGGCGAGGCGATGGGGTTAAGTGACTTGCCCAGGATCACACAGCTAGTGAATATCATGTGTCTGAGGCCGGATTTGAACTCAGGTCTTCCTGACTCCAGGGCCGGTACTCTATCCACTGTGCCATCTAGCTGCCCCTAACCTTTCCTAGTTGATTTTCTTTTCTTGTTTGTTTTTTCCTTCAAGGCAATCAGGGTTAAGTGACTTGCTCAGGGTCACATAGCTAGTAAGTGTCAAGTGTCTGAGGCAAGATTTGAACTCAGATTCTGCTGACTCCAGGATTGATGTTTGATCTACTGTGACACCTAGCTGCCCTTCTTATCTGATTTTCAAAGCCCTTTTTAAGTTTTTCTAAGAACTCTTTTTGGGCTTGTGACCATTTTACTTTTTTCTTTGAAATAGAGGTAGTCTTAACTTCACCATTTTCTTCTGAGTTTGAACTCACGTCTTCTCAATCACCATAATAGCTATCTATGGTCATGTCCTTTCTCATTTACCTACTCAATTTTTTTTTTTTGGCTAGGTGATGGGATTAAGTGACTTGCCCAGGGTCACACAAATAGTGTGTGTTATGTGTCTGAGGTCAGATTTGAACTCTTCCTGAATCCAGGACCAGTGCTCTATCCACTGTACCACTTAACTGCCCCTTACTCATTTTTTTAAATTTTTTTTAAAATTTTTAGGCAATTGGGGTTAAGTGACTTGCCTAGGGTCACACAGCTAGTAAGTGTCAAGTGTTTGGTCTGAGGCCGTATTTGAACTCAGGTCCTCCTGACTTCAGGGCCAGTGCTCTATCCACTGCACCACCTAGCTGCCCCCCCCTTACTCATTTTTAAGGGCTTATTTTTTGTCTGTTAATTTTGTGCTAGAATCTGGCTCTCCTCTCCAGGTATAGGGGCTTTAGGTTTTACATGCTATTGTTTTCTGAGCTCTATCCAGGGTCCTGACCTCAGGGACTCCTTTGCTCCTGAGCATGACGAGGGCACCCAGCAACACTGTCACTACAAATGCTCTTATTTTCTTCTGTTGTTGTCCTTCCTGCAGCTGCAAGCTGTAGCTTACTCCTCTGCCCTGGAATTAAAACCAGAGACTTCACTCTCCTGTGAGTCCCACAGCCAGCAGGGTCCCTATTCCTCTGTGGACCAGACCACACACACAGTTGTGTGCTCACTCTTCTTCACCCACAGCCTGGGATTGCTCAGTGCACTGGAGTCCTGTATCCAGTGCCAATAGAGGGCCCTGCAATCTTCCCTTGATCAACTATTTGACGCCGGTCATTGGGGCAAAAGCTGAAGCTGAGGCTGGCTTGACACAGCTACCCCCAGGGCTTGTTGTTTGTTGATTCAGCATTATCTGCCCACTACAGTCAGGCCAGACCATCACCCCTTGAAGTCAGGTCTTTCCTAATGTGCTCCCAAATTATCGCAGGCTGACAACTGCTTTACCCAACTTTTAATTATTTAAGCTGCTCAGAATTCACTTTGTGGTGTTATTTTAAATTGTTTGTAGGGGTATTTGGGAGAGCCAAATAGTTTCATGCCTTATTCTACCATCTTCCCAGAATTCTTTCCATCACTTGTGTCACTTAATGTCTCAATATCTCTCTTCACTGTTCATCAAATGAGTAGTTTTAACTAGATGACCTATAAAGTTCCTTTTATAGCTCTATATCTTATGACAGTGTTGCAGTTGCTGCATTAAGATCAGGTATATCACAAGTACAACACCAAAAACTGTGTTCCTTATTTAGAAAGTTCAACTTCACATGATAGTTGGTAGAAGAAACCAATAATGTAAAGAGAATGGGGGTTGAGCCAAGATGGTGACGTAGCAGGAATAAGTATAGTCAAACTTTCTTCTACAATATCCTCTATGCAGATGTAGAAAATATACCCAAAAGATTTCAGTTGGGAAATCTAATGAAAAATAACAGTGACTCTTTTTTTTTTTTTTTGCTTTTTGGTGAGGTAGTCGAGGTTAAGTGACTTGCCCAAGGTCACACAGCTAGTGAGTGTCTGAGGCCAGATTTGAACTCACGTCCTCCTGACTCCAAGGTTGGTGCTCTATCCACTGTACCACTTAGCTGCCCCTAGTGACTCATTTTTCTAGCTCAATTTGGCATTCAGTGGGGATAGAGAGGTCTGCAGGCATTGAGAACAGAGTCTGGTCTGGAATGATCACATGAAGCATTTCAGGCTATGCAGCTGGGTAAGAAGAGGTCCCAGATCCAACAGAGATCATAACAACATGTTATGCCTGATACAGGAATGGATGCCCCTACCCAGTTCTCTGTCGCAAGCCCACAGCCAACTGGGGAAGAGACCCGTGCTCAGAGGTGGCATTCTAATGTTAAGAAGTGGTCATGAACCATACCTAGGCTATATGCTGAGCAAGGAGCAAGTTCAAAAGCAAGCAGCACCGACGTGTTCTCAGTTCTAGCCTCTAGCCTCATCTGAAGCCTGCAGAGTAATAAAAAGGGAAGGAATTTCAGATCAAAGGGAAGCTTTCCAGATGGCTGTTAGCGGATGAGTGAACTTCCCACAATGTTGATTCAGAGTTTTGGTAAATTTTTTATTTTCCTTTGGTGTGTACTTTGTGTTGAATCACAGAATTGTGAAATATTGTAACAAACAAACCCAGTTGTTAGATGAATCTGAGAAGCTATGTTATCAAGCTATGAAACATGAGTAGCAGCAAAATGCGTTTTTACACTATAAGTGTCAAACTATAATATGCTTTTGCTGAGACTATGTCCTAATTATTTCTTATGTTAATTATTTCTTATGTAAACACAATACCTTCCAGTTACCTTTGATTTAAAAAAATATTCTCATATTATTGTTCATTTAATATTTAAAATCTGCCATGAAGTTTGTAGCCCAACTAAGTTAATACACTGATTAAGCTGTTTGATTTGATATTTACATTGCTAACTTTTTTTCTGTTTATTTGGGGTTTTTTTAGGCCCTACATGTCTCTTGGAACTCTTCGGGATCAAGTTATTTACCCTGACTCTGTAGATGATATGCATGAGAAAGGATATAATGACCACAACCTGGAATGCATTCTCCACAATGTCCATCTCTATCACATTGTTCAGAGAGAAGGAGGTAAATATTTTTTCTCACTGGCAGATTACATTACTGTCATCCTTACAATATCCTCATAAGGTGAACATTTCAGGTACTGTTGTCCTTTTTTTTTTGTTAAAGAAAATTGTATCCTTGACTGATTAGGGAAAGTAGGCTATATCAAGTATTTGACAGGTTTTCTTCTTTGCTCCAATCCCTGATGAACAGGTGACCCTTCTGCTCACCAGAGTCAGAATCAGAGATTTACAGATAGAATGGATTTCAGAAGCTGTACTCTTGATCTCATCTCCTGTTTCTTTCAGTAGATGCTTCCTCTGCCTCAAATCATCCCAGTCTCTCCGAATCTATTAGCCTCTTCTCTTATTGTCAACAAACACTACCAGGTATCTCACATTCCTACAAACAACAAAAAACACTTGAATCTGAACCTGCTATCCCCTCAAGCTATCATGTATCTCTCTTCCCTTTAACGGTCATAATCCTAGAAAAAAATTGTCTATATTCATTGTCCTCATTTCCTTTATCACTCATTTCTCAATCCCTTGCAATCTGGCTTCTGACTTCATCACTTAACTCCAGTTGCTCTCTTCAGGGTCACTGAAGATCTCTTTATTGCTGAATCATAAAGCCTTTTCTCAGACCTCACCCTTGTTGACCTCTCTGTAGCATTTGGCACAGTAAGCCATCCTTTCTTCCTGGATGCTCTCTCTTCCCTGAGCTCTCACTGCTCCCTCCTGACTTTCTCTCCAGTTGTCTGCTATTTCTTCTCAGTCTCCTTTGCTGAATCACAAGTATGGGTATACCCAAAGTTCTCTCCTAGACCCTCTTTTCTTCTCTTTCTACACTGGCTTTTGGTGATCCCATAGGTTAAGTTAAAATTTTTATGAAAATGACTCGTTTATATGTTATATAAATATATATTATGTATTAGTATATTTGTATACTAGATATAATTTATTTATAATGTATAATTTATGATATATGTTATATTAGTATATTTACATATGGAGGCAGCTAGGTTATAGAGCACACTGGACCTGGAGCTAGGAAGACCTGAGTTCAAATGTAGCTTTAGATATTTACTAGGCATGTAATCCTGATCAATTTGTTTAACCTTTCTCAACCACAATTCCACCTGTCTCCTAAGGTTATTGTGAAGATAAAATAATATTTGTAAAGTGCTTTGCAAACCTTGAGGAACTGTGTAAATGTTATCATTATCATCAACATCTTTATTAATTATTCTTATTATGCCATATCTGTCCTGAGCTCCATTTCCATGCAGCCAACTGGTTATTGGACATTTTGAATTGGGTATCCCATAAACATCTCAAAATTTCAGAATGTCCCAAACAAATCTTTTTCTCCACACCTATCCCTTTTTTGAACTTCCCTAGTCACCTCAGGGACATTCTCATTCTTCATTCTCAATCACCCCTGCCATCCAATCAATTGTCACATCTTCTGGATTGTACCTCAACATTATTTCTCAAATTGGTCCCCTTCTCTCCATTCACATGGAAACCAACTTAGTCCAAGCCTTCATCACCTCTTACATAAACTGTGGATATAGCCTCCTTGCATCCAGCTTCTCACTTCTCCAATCTATCCTCCACACAGCTAGCAAATTAATTTTCCTAAAGCAGTTTTGATTCATGTCACTCCCCTATTTTAAAAGTTCCAGTGGGTCTCTATTGCCTCTAGGATCCTTCCTACTTTTCCAGATGTGTTACACACACATCACTTCCCTTTGTACAATATACATTTCAACCAAATGGGCTTTTTTATTGTCCCTTTTGCACAATGTAGCATTTCTCATCTTTATGCATTTCCGCAGACTCCATCTCTCTACCTATTCAAAACTTCCGTGATATGAATTCTCTTCTCTCAGAAGTCATAGCCTTGAAAGTTCAGCTCAAACTTTACCTCTTACAAGGAGTCTTTCTTTATCCTCCAGTGATTCTAGTGTTCTCTTCGCTCAGTTCCCTGGAATTAATTTTATTTGCTTTGTCATAAACACACACACACACACACACACACACACACACACACACACACACGAATGTGCTGGAGATGGCTTGTACTTAGCGGCTTATAAGAGTCAATTCTTCATAAGTTGGCAAACATTATAAATCAGGGCTTGATGTATTGTTTTGCTGATTGTCTAGGCTTATAAAGAGTGATGGAGAAAATGATAATAGTGTAAACTGAACTTGAAACTTGTGGTGTTGAAAGTGTGTTGCATTTTTTCACAGACAAGGTTGTTAAGTATTTACCAGCATACCCTCTTTCTTCCATCTTGTACTCTCACTCAGAGGGTGAGATTCCCAAAGGGTAGCTACCACTACTACTATTATATTCTCAATATTGTAGGGGTAATCCTGAAGGACTAGGTTTCTACTATTCATTTACAAGCCCCCACTAATGTAGTATGCTTTAATAATCAGCTAGACTTAATTAACTTTTGACCACAAATATTTGCTAAGATTGTATATCAAGAAGATTAAATATAAAAAAATCCCCCCAGAAGTCTGGGGGAGCATGTTCACACAAATGTATATAGGGGGTAGGAAGAGAATGGATACAAATATAAAGTACCAGGATACTGAGACACATGTGCAGAGAACAAATGTTTCTGCAAAGGGTAGGTTAAAACTCCTACTTAACTGGAAGTTCTTTTCTCCCTATAGTCCTCATCCAAATCCTTAAGTATAACTCTCTCTTAGTTTCTGAGTGTCAGTAACTTTGTAGAGTCTATAGCCTACACTTTTCTCTGCCACAAGGGGATACATTCCCTGAATCTGTCTTCCACTACTGTCTTCTGGAGTGGATGCACAGTCTATGACTGGTCTAATCTCTCTGATGACTTGATCATTGTTGTGGGGAAGGAGAGGGAGGAGAAAGGGAGAGAGAGAGAGAAAGGGAGGGAGGGAGAGAGAGAGAGAGACAGAGAGAGAGAGAGAGAGAGAGAGAGAGAGAAAATAGTGTGCCTATTTCCCACATCCCCTTCAGCATTTGTTATTTTCCTTTTCTGTTATCTTAGGCAGTGTTATCAGTGGGAGTTGGTTTCACAGAGTTTTAATTCACATATCTCTAATTGTTAGTGTTTTAGAGCATTTTTCATATGATTATTGATACCTTTATGGCATTTAAAAGTTTGACAGATAATTTCTGGGCAAATTAATCATTTTATTAATAATGCTCTTCTCTTCCCCTCTTCTACCAGTAATTCCCTCTTAAAGGTTTATTTTAATTCTCAAACTGGAATTCTCTGAATGGGAATTCTTCTACCTTTTGACTAGGTTGGTTCTTTTTTTTTAATTAAAAAAATTTTTTTTAAGTTCAGTTCCAAATTCTCTCCTTATTTCTACCCCTCCTTTACCTATTGAGAGGTCAATACCCATGATACTTGTTAGACATATTAAGTCATGCAAGATATATTTCTGCATTAGTCTTGGTTAGGGGGAAAAGAAACTAAAATAAAGGAAAGAAATATACTTCAATCCAAACTCTGAGTTCCTCAGTTCTCTATCTGAAGGTGGATAGCATTTTTCATCATGAATCCTTTGGAGTTGTGGTAGATCATTATACTGATCAGAGTTACTAAGTCTTCCACAGATGATTATCGCTAAAATATTTCTGTTACTGTGTACAATATTCTCTTGGTTCTGCTCTCTTCACTTTGGATCAGTTCACAAAAGCCTTCCCAGTTTTTTTCTGAAACCACCCCCTTTATCATTTCCTACAGCACAATAGTATTCCATCATATTTGTATATTGTAACTTGTTCAGCAGTTCGCTAGTAATGGACATCCCCTCACAGTTTCCAATTCTTTGCCACCACAAAAAGAGCTGCCATAAATATTTTTCCTTTTCCTTTTTCTTTAATCTTTTGAGATATAGATCTAATTGTAGTGTTGAAACAAGTTGGACTAGTTCATAGTTCCACCAGAAGTACATTAGTGTGCCTATTTCCCACATCCTCTTCAGCATTTATTATTTTCCTTTTCTGTCATCTTAGGCAATTTTATCAGTGGGAGTTGGTTTCACAGAGTTTTAATTCACATATTCTAATTGTTAGTGATTTAGAGCATTTTTTCATATGATTATTGATAGCTTTGTGGCATTTAAAAGTTTGAGAGATAATTTCTGCGTAATTTAGTCATTTTATTAATAATACTAGCATTTTTAATAAAGGGTCAGTGACACTCTCAAATGCCAAAGACCCTCATGGCAGTGGGCTCATGGCTTATATGTCCTTGGAAAAGGAGTGTTCCTGAGAGTGATAATCAACTCCAATTGATTAACAATTAATGAGAGGTGGCCTTTACAAAGAGAAGTGAGCTCATTTCAATGAGGGGCTGAGAGTGACATCATGCCACTCTTGGACAGAGAGACTATCTCTATACCCATATATACTCTATGCTCAGCCTTGGACATTCTAAAAGAGAAAACTATATCCCTCACCCAAGCCTGAACTAGTTGGGTGAAATCACAATACCCAGAAAGAGGAGAATGTTAATCCTATCTTCCATCAGCCCTGTCCTTGAGAGATTGGACAAAGAAATAGGACAGGGAAAAAAAGGCTGGGGTCTCCCCAATTTTAATAATTGGCTATTAATTTAAGAGAAAAAAATCATTTCTCTCAACTTTAATTTCTTCCTCTGAAAATTGCCTGTTCATATCCTTTGACCATTTATCAATTGGGGAATGGCTCTTATTTTTATAAATTTGACTCAGTTCTTTATATATTTTGAGAGATGAGACCTTTATCAGAGAAACTTGCTGTAAGTTTACCCCTCTCTTCCACTTTCCTGCTTTTCTTTTAATTTTGGTTGCACTGGGTTTTGTCTATGCAAAAACTTTTTAGTTTTATGTAATCAAAATTATCCATTTTATTCTCTGAACTCTCACTTATTTGTTCATGAACTCTCAAATATTGTAATGAGAGTTCTGTGCAAGGCATTTAAAACACCAGTTTGTGAGAATAAACTCTGTTGGAGAGAGAGAATACAGAAT